CAGCGTCATATCGTGCTCCGGATGCACTTTGCTGATCAGTTCGCGGCCGGTTTGAACACACACTCATAATAAAATTGGAACCAAATAGCCAAGAAGTCGTCCTTCTACGAAACAGGATACGACTTACTCCCAAGGTATGCCAAACGAGCCTTTCTGTTGGAGACTTAGTACTGTTACATGCGACACGTTCGTCCGAAGTTACGAACAATGGAAATCCGTTCAAGAGTTGAATCAATAGATCGACCCGAAATGTACAATAAGCAACTTTGTAGGTCGCTCTGTGCGACAAGTAGTACATGTCAACCGCGTAAAGTTGTATGCCTCCCTCGTTGTTTGTCGGATGATGTGTTTCCCACAAAATGCGCAAGCACAACCCACCTCGCCTTTTCTCGTTACCGATCCCGGTTTCCAAGATGAAACAGGATCTTTGTCATTTTTTTCTGCGTCTTAATATCATCTCCTATGTCTGAAAGAATTGTATCATCCAGGTGTTGTTGAACGACAGCGCTGTTGTGAGCGAAGACGATGCTTATCTTTCGGAAACTCTCTGACCTCACCTGATTCATATCCCATTAATCTATCATTTGGATCGTGATCACAGTTCCAACATGTATTTTGCCTCAATACGATAATCTGGAGAGACGCTGGAATGTCATAATGCTTAGAGCTCAGCGAGACGTCAGTCTGAAGGAATGGAGATGTTCGCGTCCACCGTGGATGGGCATGGCCGAGATTACGGTATCGCAGGAAGCTTGGCATATATACATAAATATGTATAGCCTAAAACTTATGTAATACGGAAACATCGCTACACACCTTCAGGTTACAGAAGTGCAAGCGCTGTAATCTGATAGAGGGCAGTTTTTCCACACGTTCAGAAATTTAAGTGTTTCAGTGATTTTTTTCTCCTCTGTTATAGTCTATCTTATTCATTTCACTCATAATCAGAGCACCATATGCACCCTGTAACCCTAAGTTCAAATGCGGAATTTGGAAAAAAGCTCACCGCACCTTCTCACAAATTCGGTGTAAATTTGAATAGTAGGATAATTGATGTCTTGATCACGAGCCACCGTATTCGTTTTCACTCCTGAGGTCATCTGGCGGCCATTATGGCACTGATTTGGCGCCACACCCTTTTCTATAAAATTGATAAACTTGCATAATGGGGCTGTTTTGATGCCCTGATCACGAATACGACATTTATTTTTCGACGCTAGTGCCATTTAGCGCTTTCTAAGGCTGAGCCTGGGAAGAAAGAGTGTCCTCTAGGTCACGCACAGCCTCCAGTCAGAGCGCAGGAGTACATCGCAGTCGTCGCCCATCAGCGCCAGTGCCTACAATGGGTGTGATATTTGTATATCAAGATGTCGAATAACTTCGTATACAATTTTTTCAGGCAGATTCAGTGACCTAGCATTTTCGCGCGGCGTCTGTGTCGCGGGCCGCCAGGCACTTTCAGACCAAGTGGATGTGATATTCGTGGTCAGGAGGTCGAATTACCCCTACAACCTAATTTCAGCGAATCTGCCCTCGTAGAAAAAAGTCCAAGAAGACCGCGCCTGTTTTCGGAAATATTGGCAGTACTAATAGTTGAATAGTGCCCGTGAATGACACCGCAGGTGTTCAGAGAAACACCACCAACACGAAAAATCGGCCACGACCACTTTTTAAGGTAAAGCGCGTCGAATATGGTGTGGATCCGTAGCCGACTATCGCTATGCACTTAACCCTCACGCCCTAACTTTTGTGTGCCACTTGCGCACTACTGAAGAATCGTTATTGTCGGCCTATAAAATAGGATCGTCAGTGCCTAGAGAGTTAGCCTGAGTAGAACTGTAGTGTTGTGGCAGCACATAAAAAAGCGTCAGGGAAATGGAAGACGGAGCGGTGTCGATCGTACATCATTCAATGGGTTCTTCTCCCCTTTGAATGCTATTGAAAAAAATTTTCGGAGTGCTGTTGAATGATTTGTGGTCTTGTTTGTAAAACTTGACCAAAAATCTCTGGGACTTTCTAGAATTTGCTGGCGAAATTAGAGCAAGATTGTCAGGAACTTGTGCTCAAAGCTAGTATATTATTTGGTCGGCAGAGTTGCAGTGAACAAAAGTTCTCGACATGGCTCTTGTCTTCCGCTATGGAAATTAGTTGTAGGAACCTGAGAGAGTTTGGAGATAGAACTAGTTTAAGGATCAGCAGGACGGTACCCCAAGTGACGGTGTTTTTTAATCGAGTGTTTTTTCATACGATTTTGACATTTTCTAGTTGAGTGAAATTTTTAGAGGCGTGACCGCTATCATACAGTAGTCGGCATTATATCAGGGTCAGTAAACTCTACAGGTATGTTTCACTCAAATTACCAAAAATCTTCACAAACTAGAACCATTCTCACATTAATTTTCGAAACGATTTCTCTTACGAAAGCTTGAGAGCATTAGAAATATGGGTGATATTTTCATTTTACTCCAGCGTGGTCCTCTCTTTAAAGGGCGCGCCTTGCTCTATTGCAAACGCCCGCCGTCGTATTTTTACATGACACGTTGATTTAGCGATAATGGCAAGTACTGTCTCTTCTTGGGAACTGGTCTTCGTTACTGGTAATGAATTTTTTTCCTAAACTGAAGTAATGAGAATATTGGTTCTAGTAGTTCCCTAATATCGCTCAGGAGCTTCTACTTCTTTTCCTATTTCGTCCTGTTCCAAAATAACGCATTATTATTCGCGTGTTCTCACAATGGCACTTTATTAAAAGAATATTTGAGGCTTTATAGGTAAGATGAGACCAGTTGTTTTCCTAGTCCTAGCATTGACTTCGGTTTAGCGCGTATCCCTAAAGGCTTTTTGGCGATGAAGGTGACACGAAACGGCTGTCAAAAGTGCTTGAGGTATAGTTCTTGGCAGAACCTCAAACTGTACTCGTGTTGCTTTTCTACTAAGTAATTCCTTCAGAATGTACTCGAAACCAGAAGAGATAACATTGCTGCTCTTCACTTTGCCACTAGTGGGCTAAAGCTTCTTAATGTCGCTCCATCAGCAGCGGCTAGAGCGGTTTGTTCGTGTTCTTGACCTCTTAGCTTTTAGTTGCGCTATATTTGGCCCATTGGTTTATCCTTTTTATTTATTGTTTGTTTATTGTATGACAGTCAGTCAACAGTACGGGCACCGCCAGGAAAAGCAACAAAAACATCTTTCCTGACATCTAGGAAAAGCTCAAAATATAAAAAGTAAAGATAAAGAATAAAACTGAGAACTTAATAGAGAACATAGATAGATAAGGACCTTATTAACCAATCCGTATGAGGACAACACTTAACGACCCTAACGTAGCTAAGGCACACGAAAAAAACCGCTGCTATGGTCGCGATCTATGAGTAGTGAGACAAGAAGTGTAACCTAGCCCTCGATACCTGAGGAGAATGGTAACGGAAAATCAAAAACAAGTGGATGGTGCTAGGGATAACACCCAGGAGACACCGCCGCGCTTGGAACTAGGTCACCGCGCGCGGCAGTGAGTCCTGACCTGGCACTTTACCAACTTCCGATCAATACGACCCCATCCCCATTTCTCTCTTTTCCTCATCTTCCATCTGCCAAGAACATGTCCAGACAGGTGGACATGTTCAAACATGCAAACATGTTAAAGCATGTAATCGCCGCGCGCGTTGACCCACTTCCCTGCGCGGCGACTTAGTTTCGGGCGCGGCGGTGAGTCCTGACACACACCCCTAGGGCACGCCTGTATACTGAAGCTGGGTTTTCGGATGTCAGGTATTCCCTACCCCTAACAACCCAGCCTCAGGCCCACTATGCGATAAGGTAGCATAATAAGGAACGTGAGGCGAGGTCACTTAGAGGAAGAAATGAGGATCCACGAGGCCATACAACGGTAATTAGCGTGCGACCGACCCACAACTCAGGGAACGCAAAAAAATGGTTACGGGGCAGATGTCAACCAGGCGATCTCTCGCTGCGAGGGTCCAGGGCTAATTTTACCAAGAAACTAACTTCAGTATTACCGCCACGGTACCATAACCCAAAATTAACGATCTCCCCTCGGCTTTCCCTTCTGGCGTTCATATTTCCTTGTATGCCGATGATTCTAAAATTTTCACCATAAACAACGATGGTCTACTGCAAGATGGAATCGATGCCTTGGCCAGTTGGGCTGCCAGGTGGGAACTTGGGATCTCTGAGGAGAAGACAACGGTAATGTGCATAAGGATAAACCACCCTGACGTCCGAGGTCCAGTCAATCAATGGGAAATTTAAGTCGCCCATAATAATGATTTTGCTGGGGCAGTAGAGTATCAGGTCGGAAAGAAATGCAATTAATTCTGAAAAAGCGTCAAACCTACAGGAAGGGCTCCTGTAAATCGTAGCGATCATAACAACTTGACAACTAATAGTGACCCCCATAACGATAGCCTGACAGTACTCAGAGAAGTTTTTGGATACATATAAGCGGTGTTGGATCCCTTCCGCAGAGCCACAATAACACCTCCTCCTGGTCTGTCGCCATCCCTGTCACAGCGGAACACACAGTACCTACCTTGACAACTTAACGTGGCGTCGCTAATCATATGGGGTTTGCACCAGCTCTCCGTAATAAAAACACCACAAGGATTCTGCATCAATAACATATCAAGTTCAGGGATTTTTTTAAACTATGGAATGGGCATTAAAAAGTATAAATCTATTGAACAAAGAGCTGAGCAAAAATTTCGAGAAGGCGCGAGCAGGGGACTCTCCGCGCCCTCCCCTTTATCATAGCGAGGCGAATCACCATTTAAGCCCTTGATCGACTTCTCATTGGGCTGATTGGTCGGTTCATGTAAGGCACCTACCCGGGTAGCATTATCGATCGACACCACACTAGGACCTTTAATTGGTTCCCACCAAGCATCATATTATGACGGAAATTTCCACATGAACACGTTTCAGTAATGTCTGCCTAGGTAATCTTCTTCCAGGCAGTTTGTGAAGTCGCTAGGAAAGCTGATATGACAAAGCTTGAAGTGCTTTATCATGCGTCAGCCCTTGCCGGCGACCTTAAAGATTGTGCCCTAATTAGTATAGCTGGCGCACAGGTTTGTTTGCTGACTTCACCTCCGGTAGGTCTTGAGTATGCTATTCTTTTGCAGAAAACCATCGAAGATGTCCTCAGTGCGCCTAACCCTAATGGAGAGCGCATCAATCAAGCGCTGCGCAGCGCTGATCGTTTGGGCATCAAGGTAGGCTCATCAGGTTATTCCCAGCGTCTAAAGGGACTTCATTCCTTTCTTCGTGCAGGTGGACAAGGCTGCTTTTGACACACTTCTCACGACTGCGATGAAAGACGACTCTCCTAGCAAGTGGGTTATTTCTTCGGCTTCTCTTCGTCACTCCAAGCGCTCCATAAAGTTGCGTTCATACTTTGCGTCAGCATCCAGAGCGACTATGAAAGCTGGGATATTGAACCGGTGTTTTCGCGGGCAGTCGCTGAAAGTCGCTGGTGTACGCTTACGCTGTCGCAAAGTATGAACGCAGCATGGCTCATATTGGTCCACTAGATATGATTCATACATTTGCATACTAACTTCAGCCTCGCTTGGGTTTTCAATGCAGCTGCTTTGTTGGATAAAGCCCAGGGAGCCAAGTACTTTGACAAGATCAAGTATCTTGTATCACAAGCGGACGAGGTTGACAAGCGATTCCTGCAGGTGGGTTCATCCTTACTTTTTCTACATTGTGTGTCCCTCATCCATTCGGCTTCAGTTTGACGGGGGCCTCACGACAACTTCGAACGCTATCCATGGGATCATGTCGTTAGCCGAACAACAAGGAAAGGCTCCAGCTATTACCAAAGTAAGCACCTACACGGTTTGAATGCAGTTAGTAGGATGGCTGGGGCGGATCGTTGCTGCCAACATTATTGGTGGCAAGACTGAATGGGGTGTGGCCAAATGCCCTTTCGCAGCCCTTCCACTAATGAGTTTGGCACGTCCAGCCGTCGTACCCACTGCTTTAATTGTTTCTACAGAGTTCATAATGTCTTAATCGTTTTCAAGGATCAATTATTGCTTTTCACCAACTACCTCTTATCGCGAAAGCACGTGTCTACCGAGAAATCTGCATTCCATTTGCTTAGCGCTCTTGGAGTGCTTGTGAACAATCACCAACTTGTGCCAGTTGTTGCATCCCTGAGAGGACCCGTCATGATCAATCGTATGAAGGTAAATCTTTTTCAACTCTAAAATTATGTTCTCACGTTATATTACATTACTGTAGCCAATTGTTATCGCTGTCTGCAATGTGTTCGGCTTACCAGTTACTGTGTCGGAGGTGCGAGTTGATATCATTCCACAAGGACAAACGTCACCAATTCTGGGAAATATGCCACTTACACAATCTAAAGCGTACGTCTCTTTGAAGAATTCGCTCACTAGTAATTTTGATTGAAATTTTCCCAGAGCACCAAGGCTTTACTCATATGCTCCTGATAAAATGCCGGATACGCCCGGCTTCTACACTATCGCTGTGAAAATTCAATCTCAGGTAACCCTGAAATGGTTTTACTCTGTACAATAGGCGCATGATTGGCAGTATCTGTTTAGGATAAGCGTCTCATTGGTTTGACTGGCTCGAGCGTACTTGTAAAACTGCCCGATGAGGTCACCGTCGAAGATCTAAAAGTAGGAGCACTCGAAAAGGACGACGTCGTCAGCGGCGCTAATCTCGCTAGGTGGGTTTGTGAACATCCCTTTAATAAACGGTTACATACTCCTGGAATTTCTTTTTTTCATTCTGTGATGCATTCTCGATTTTTGTTTTGATTTTCTTATTTTCTTTTGACATTGACACACTTGTGAGCCACCGGTAGTGGTTTGGGGAAAACAAAGCGCTCATTGCTACCATTATCACCTCTAACTTGGCTCTCTTTCTAACAGAATTTCTCACTACTGATGCTTGTGATGTAAACGCGAACTGATTTTTTTCACGTCCTTTTATTGGCTCCCAAGGAGCGCATGTTTTTTTTTGTCTTTCGGATCTTTATTTCATTTAGCTACTTCATTACTCCTTTTCGTAACTTAGAGTAGTTTCTCACTTTCTCATCGTATTGCAGTGTTCCTCTGTTCTCAAAGCATGGAAAAGTCATTACGGCAGACCATACGAAACGACTGTACATTTCCTTCTCTGTGAAAAGTAAAGTGTCAGGAAATCTAGTCCAACCTCATCAGGTATGTCATTTTGCAAACCTTCCTTCTTTTAGGTCACGATGGTTGGTAGCGGTTGCTGGCAGCAGCCGCCCGTCTAGCAATCGTGCTTCTGACGTTAAAGATGTAATGTATCAGTCTTTTTCAGACATTCGTTCTGTTCAAACATGTAAACGGTGCCGAGGTCTTTTACACAGCTGAAGTACAAACTGGCGGCAAATACCTTGTTGAAATAGTCAGTTTTTTTGTCCTTTTTCGCTCCATCCTTCTTTCTCTTTTCTTACTTTCCTCTTTTTTTCGAGTAATGAGTAAAGCACTACTGCTAATGAGGAGGAAAGGGAGGTTACAAAAAATTCGAGCTGTCTACACCAGAAAAGGCTCGGACTTCTCCAAAATATTGAGATATAGAGAATCACGCCTAAGGGTTGATCTACTGAGGTTTCCGGGAAAGCCGCAGTGGAGAACATAGCTTAGCGGGCGAAGTTAATAGACACATCCCACCCTTGATCGCGCTTTCATTTGAGTGCGCCTTCGAGAGGTGGTCGTGGCTTAAGCGAATGGCGGAATCCTTGGAGGAATTTATATCGTTTTTCTCCCAATGATGTTCTTCTCTTTTTTTTGTACTGGAACATTTCAGAATCTGGCCCAAAGATCACAAAGATTTCGAGGCGTGTAGTCTGGAAAATATACTGCATACCTCATCGTGTTGCCACCATAAAATCTCCGCTAAACGTGCCTTCGTGAGGTGGTTTCAATCGATTTTGAATGCTCGTTTGCCGTGGCGCCTTATTCGCGTTAGCGTTTCTTCGTTCCAGGCAGAACTTCATGCTCACTTCTCCATCCGCACATCCGCGAGGTGTGCCGAAATCACAGCGTCATTACTATGATGTGTTGCCGGAAATTAAGCACGTATTCTCAGGCCTTGAAAAAGCGACCGCCAACCATTGTCTCAGATGCTTTCACTCTGATCTGTTTGCTCCATTGTTGCTGCCTGTTTTGTACTGTAAGAATCCTTCTAGTCAGAATATACTCAATGCTTCCTAGTGAATGTCTTCGTTTCAGTGGTTCCGTATTGGGCTCAATTTTGCAATATGCCGGTCAGTTTGTGGACGCTGATCTTCACGGAAGTTTGGCTGGTGAGTTGTGAAGTAGCCTCTGTTCAACAAGTTTTGTATAGTTTGTTTTTACGTGGATCGTGAATAATTTTCTCTGCATTTTAGCCCCTGTTCGCCTTGTACTTCGTGTTCTGGCTTCAGCTCAACATGTTTGAGACAGTGAAGTATTTAGCCGTCGTTGGTGGCTTGACGTACTTAGCTGGTAACCGTGTCTTAAGGGCGATAGCCGATAAACGAAAGTGAGTTCAGGAAGTTCAAAGGAAGTGTTAACTAACAGCAGTGAAACGGAGGATGTTTTCAGGAGTAAGGCCGAGTAATACTGAAACTGCCGAAGGGGATTTGGACCAAGAAAGTTTATAGTTTTTTGTTTATTTCCGAAAAAAGTTGCAGCAGATTTCTCTGTTTTGAAATCGGATTCGGGATTTATAGCTTGATTTCTATTACGTGTGTTATTTAAAGTTATCCATGGCTTTTTTATAGTAGCATATTTATTTGAATGCGTTGTTCTCTTGTTTTGTTGATATCATTTTCTACGGTCAATAAATTATTGTTGCTTTTGTGTTGTAAAATGTTTGCAAAAACGCGTTGACAGGTCGCCATAGGTTACTTCCAATTGACTGATTTATGTTCTGGATGCCTACTAATCGGACTTGATTTGAGGGATGTCCTTGACGAAAAACCTGAAAAGTCTAACATCTGTCGGACCTCGTGCTGTCGTCACTTGGGACAAGGTGGGATATCATTTGTGATTTTTTTTCGCCGTAACCATGTCATTTTTAATGGCAGATGAGCAAGACTCGGTTGAAGTCGTGCACGTTAATCGACAGTCGTGCCCAATAGGGACTAGGGACGGCAACACTGATGTAGCCTTCTCCCGAGCAGCTCTAGAACATGAGGATGCGCTCCTTGCGAACATTTATGTGTGGGAAATGGTATCTCTAGTAGAGGTGCAAGCAAGCAGGTCCGCTAAAAACACGCGCATACTTCGCGTCAGTTTGAGCGGCTAGGAAAGTATAGCTATCGATCTAACTTACTGAGCGCACGCCAGCATGTGAGCGTACTGTTTTATGCGGCTAGGAATGGTCACTTTAGTGGAAATGGCTGAATAGGAGGCCAGCAGACTACGCTAGAGTGATGCCTGTACTTTCCTAGTCGCTAAACGCTGGCGCAAAGTATATACGCACCCTGAGCCTTGGCATGTTACGTATGTCAACACAACCGTAGTAGTAGAACTTGAATTCTTGACAATCACGTAATAGAAAGTGTCGCTATCCACTGTTACAGTCCTCATCATTACGTACAGTCGGGGCGGCGCAGCCGCGCTGCACAGTGACGCGACAGCGGCTGCGGCTCGGTGACGGTGAATCAGCTGATTTGATGGAATTCGGCTGCAAATTCCCTTTTTTCAGCTCCACAAGCTTCTAAAGTGGAAGGTGAGTTATTTTGAACTATTTTAAATTGTACTGACTCTTGGTTCTGAAAGGATGTAAGCCATTTGAATAAATGCCTGAAATAAGGCAAGATACAAAGGATAACAGAGCCTAATAATCGACATAAAAATAATGACAGGAAATCAGAGCCAGTGCAATTCAAATTGGTCAGAAATAACTGCTACCTTCCACTTCAGAAGCTTGTAGAGCTGAAAAAGTGGGAATTTGCAGCCGAATCCATGCAAATCAGCTGATTCACCGTCACCAGAGCCGCAGCCGCTGAGTGGGCAGCGCGGCTGTGCCGCCCCGACAGTCACGTAATGATTTATTGGACATGTCACCACACACCTGTAAACAACAAGAAAAACATAACGAAACCCGCAAATAGGTAAAATTTTGATAATGTAAACATCGTTTGAAACATACTCACCAACATGTTTCTTGAAAGTGGCATACTTAGCAAGGAAATATATTCAGAACGTAACAGAGAGGTTGAAAATAAGCACACTCTACTACTAAAGAAGGCCTCGACGGCGATATCTAGATTTAGGCAGTGGTTGCAGCTCAATTTAAACGTAAGGCTCCCTTGAACTAGCTGGCAACACACTGAAAAAGTCATGAACATTTAAATAAGCGCAGGTTCTCACAATTTTTGAAGGTCATAAGTAAGGTCATATGGCTTTTCCTCTCCATTCAAGGATGACATTTGAGACCGTAGGTGGAATTCCTAAGAGACGCCTGAAGGAATACTGAATAGCTAAGCCCCGAACATCTGAGCATTTAACTTACGAGTAAAACGTTCTGTACACTTTCTAGAGCCTTTATGTCCTTTCTCAGGTGGGTGATTGACAAACTGTTGTCCGCACATTCCAAAATAGGGCGACACGTAAAGTTTATAAAGTTCGTAAGCAGCAAGGGCAAAGACGTCATTAGTTCTAAGGTCTTTGAATATATTGAAGATTGCTCCGCGCAAGGCCTTTCCCACTAGAGCCTTATAATGTTGAATAAAGTTCAGCTTGTAGTCATCATTGAAAGCCCAAGATATCGAACTTCCTCTACGGACCTCAGGACTTCAAAAATCGAATGAGTACTTGGATTTAAGCCTGATGCTCACCCAAATAGCATCAGCTTGGGTTTTATCCAAGATATGGGCAAACCCATTAGCCTTGGACGGCAATCCACCATCTTATTGATTGCTATTCGTAGTGAAGGCGTCTGATTCCAGCATCTTGAACGACTTTATAAATCTTGACTATATCATCAAGCATATAGATTGGCATGACAACCACCTGAAATGGTCAGAACATCCGGCAATGATCTGCGTGCAAAATGTTGTAAGCAGTAGCGGGGAGAGCACACCTTCCCTGAGGCTAACACCACCTGCATGCCTCACCACGAGTTATGATAACGAGTCCCGACCAGAACTTGAAATGTTCTGTATCCAGAAATTCTGAATCCACTTAAAACTCAGTGGATTGAAACCCAATGAACAAGTTTATGAATAAGCACATATATGTGTGTATCCATCGAAGGCTTTAATGAGTCAAAAGTAATTATGTCCACTTATTTTCTTTTGATCGCGAGAGCTTTAGACCAGTCATTCATGACAGCTGGCAGAGAGGTTTCAACAGACGCATAACCGCTGCAAGAAGCCATGCTGGAGATGGCTGTTAGATATGTGATAACTTTTCTCATCGTGGGCTCCAGCAAATATTTTTGATGATTTTTTCCAAAGACCTCTGGCAAGAGATTGAGGTCAGGCTAATTGCCTGTAGTTGTGCAGGACATGAAATGAGGTTCCTTTTTGGTAGGGGTAAGATTTGGAAGCTTCCATTTACTGGGTACATAGCTCCTCATAAGGTGCAGGTTAAAGAGAAATTCTAAGTGGGCCACAGATGTCATAGATGCAATTTTCAACAACGGACGAAGAGGAATATTGGATCTGTATATTCTTTTTCACTGTTGTCGTCTGCAACTGACCCTCTTTGTGATTCCTGGCTTTTCAATGACTTCATACTGAAAGTGATTCGCAAAGGAATTCAACAGGCGGTGGGCAACGCATGTTGAGGGCTCGAAGTGAAAGAAACTTGTGTTTGACTTTCATCAAGAGTTTTGTATTTTGGACAATTGATGTCGTGTTCCGTCAGACGTACCCGTCCGTTCGTTTATCATGGCTGAAGCGAATAACGCCGCAAATGAAGAGACTTTGCGGCGGACCTGACTCGATAGTGGCATCGCTTACCAAATCATTACTGTAAACGGTTACTGGGATAATTTACATACGGCGATGTTACTCCTGTGCATTATCGGTATGCTTGATCTCTGTATTGCTTAATCTTCTCTCTCCGAATGCTAGGGTTTGTGGTTAAGCATTTTGCTGTCGTCTATGACCTACTCAATATCTCTAACTGGTTGATTAGGTTCATAGATAAAATTTTCTTTTTGTGCAGCCACCTGACCTCTCGCTTTATACTGGGATCCTGATGGCGGAAGGTAGAAGTGGAAGCGGTAAAACTTTCCTTGCTAGGTCGGTTCCCATTTTTTTGAACTTCTTGATTTTTTAGTTTTTTTTTTTTCTCTGTAAAAGATTGTTTGTAGTTATTCAATCCACCGTGAAGCTGACCAGGGATTGGGGAGGTGAAGGTGTTGTGAAAGGATGGAAAGAGTCTCGCCCGTACACCAAGAAGAAGATTCTACCAAGGTGAATTTTTCTCTAACTTTACTGTTATTTCACCTGTTTCCAGTTCTATTTCAGGCATTGGATACCCCATTTATACTTTCCTGCTCTTAAAAGGAAAATTCTTTACTCAGAAATCCTCGACAAGCATATGAAGGTGAGCTAATTCGTTTTAAAGATTGCTATCCTTCAGTAGTCCGAGCTGCTCACTAGTTGACTGCTGTTGTTGCGATTTTCTCTCTCTGGAACCCAAAATAGACCTGTCTTGGGTGTATGTCTATGCTTTAACCCGAAAATTTTCGATTATTCCCATTCGCGGAACAATTCCGCTTATCCTATTCTGCCTCAATTTTGATTCAGGTCACATTTTGATCATAAATTCTGTGCGGGGTAGATTTGGCCACTAATTTATGCACAGGCGACCAGGTGTTCTCGCGCTAAGTGGTGTTAATGTTCAGGGGGACCAAACTACCTCCGGGGGCAGTATTCTAGTCGAACATATTTCCATGTCGACGAAAGTATGGCCTGACTTCAAGAGTCGGAGCAGTAAACGGCGAGTAGGGCCATTTCCAGTTGTTTTCTGAAATGAGTACTATGAATATCGTGTCGTAACTCGTAGTGGACTTCTTATGGTAATTCTTAGTAGTACTCATTTGTAACTAAATGAAGTCTAAAGAAATTGTTTGCCGAAGTGCGACTTTCTTGAATCAAACATTACTNCGGGTTACTCCTTTTTATTCTATCTTAGTACGAAGGGAAGTCATTTCACTTTCCGATGCCACAGAATAAGGCAATCCAACCCTGCTTCAGGTAACAGTCACGGAACGAGCTCTCCGTCTGATCGAGCAACACTTTGGCTTGGATTATTACATACTTCAAACAGCTGAAATTGATCTGGCTTCGAAGTTAGGCAGCAGGCTGGTATCAAAGATGCCAATGAGCGATATCCCTTAGACGAAGTGCTGCATCATTCCAGGTTAAAACGAGAGATGTTGTTAACCCTTGCCAAAGGAACATATTATACAGAAGATGAAGAACGTCACAACTATATTAAGGAGAAGTGAGTTTGTAATCACAAGTTTTGGGGAGATTTCGTCTACTTTTCTTCCTAGGTATGCCGAATTCGTTATTCCCATTGATGAAGCAGATTGGGTTGGATTGGATTTGAATGAAGCGGCTCGCAAAACAACAAGAAATTGAAGATCAACGAATTCCAGAGCCTATGAAGTTCAAGTGACTCATTGTCGTGTCCTTCAAACTCGTTCTCTTGCGACATTTTCGATTTTCGTACTTTGACAAGTTCGCCGTTGTTGTTGTCTGGATTACTATAACGTGTTCCAGGTTCGAAAAGGAACTAGTAGCACGACTACGGGCTGGTACAGACCTCATCACGAACGAGGGAGAATATGCACCAAAGGTCGAAGAAAGTAAATTCGGTGAACGACTTCTCGGGAAGTATCTCAACCCAGTAGCTAGGCGATTCAGGCGATAGAAGTAATGCAGTTTACAGTGTAACAGTTCCATAGTGCACATTTTCTGGCTACAAAGGATCTTTGTAGGTTTTTGAGTTGGTTCTCTGGTCTTTTGTAATACATTGACGTTTTTCGATTTGTAGGTGTGATGTAGAGTGATCGACTCTTCAGGACTGTAAATATAATTTGTACTGATGATTAGTTGAATAGGTGTTTTTTGTTCCTTGGCTTTGTTCTCGTATTATTGTTATTTGTTTAAAATGTTTTTTTTGATGGCTCATATGACTGTTCGAGGTCGTCTGATCTTCTTTAATATTGCAATTTCTTTTTGGAAATCGGTGCAGTAAATAATTGTAACAAATAGTAGTGTTCGTACGCCTCAGTCGTTTATGCTGTTACGAAGAGGACTAAACATCGGACAAGTCACGGGAATGGCAGTAAGGCAGGTCGCAACTGGTAATCAGCATTTTGCTGTAAGAGCAGGACTCAGCAAGAATCCTGAGAAGGTAAACGAGCCTCAGCGCTATTCCTTTGCATGCCCTTTACTGTTGTGTTACACTTTGTTAGCATGGTAGCCTCTAGTTTGGGAGGGAGGAAATCAAGCTTCCAATAAGTGGAGGTAATCAATAGTTTGTCGATGTTCTCCTAGTTAGCCCGATTCCCTTAATTGATGGTTATTCTTTAATTCCTCCTTCCAAGTACGAACAGTGGTCAGGGTGCATATAAAGAGACGTTCTTCCGTTTTGATGTGAGCGATTTGAATTTTCGATCCTTAACTTCTCAGCTTTTTGATTCGTTCGCTGACCGTCAATCTGGACAGGTGACTATGAACCGATGCCTGATTTTCTGATTTCTCCTATATCTTCTTAGCTTGTACTTTATCTGATACCCACAATATCTCGAAGTTGGAGAAGGCGTGGTCACATGCTTCATGTGAACGTGGCGGCGACTGCGTTCCCAGTAGGATGTTGGAGCTTTGGGACAGACGTAATCATGTCATTGTTTTGCAAGAGACTGGAATGCAGTAGTCTCGAATGGGCATGTCGCACGAAAAGCGTTTTCTGTGTCGTGTCCAAAAGAAGTACGCGACCACGTCCTGATCATCCCTGGGATATGAAGGACGGCAGTATCAGGGCTTGCGTCCACGGCCCTCTCAAAAGCACGGATATTAGCAGAATCGCCGTTTGAACACTATATCAGGCAACAGCTCTTTTACAATTAGATTTAACTAAAAACAAGTGATCATTGTATTGGTATGTGGAGATAATTTATCTCTTCCATTATCTTGATAGCATTTCAGACTTTATTCGTGGATGGCACCAATGTTGTATCGTACGGTGATTTCCAAAAGTGGGGTGGAAGATATGCTGGTGTCCTTAATGGCAAGTATGGCATATCAGTATGTCTTTCAATTTTCATCAGGATATTGTGAAATTTTGGGAATTCGTTGCTAGCTGAAGTAGTTCATTGTTCAGAAAAGAGATTTTTTTTGTCATTTTCCTGGACCATTCAGAAAGGTGATCGTGTGCTCTGTCGGACAAGCAAAACTCTGGACTCGGTAGCGCTGTATCTGGCTTGTCTACAATTAGGAGCAATCTATATACCAGTGAATCCCTCTTACACACGGTCTGAAACGGAGCATTTCGTGAAGGCATGTCAAATATACACGTCATTTTTTCTTTTTTGAATTTGGGATCTGAGCTGTGACCAGCAGCTCTAGCAACCCGTCGCTGAATGCACTAAGCCTGACCTTAACCTAACATCCGAATCGTTTGGCTACATCGTGCTCAGTGTCACCCTCCTGTTCCTTCGTTCTTGGGGTGAGAACCACAGAAAGAGCGAGATCACATTTAAGGGCTCTTTGTGGTACCTAATAAGTATCTCCAACCGAGACAAGTCTCCTTGGGAACTACGTAGAAAGCCACAAAAAAATCATGCTCTAGTTCGAGGGTTTTATTTCTCGATTTTTGCAAAGACTTTATCCATAGTGTTCGGGGGAATGGGCTTTAAGCGCCCAAAGCGGTAGTTTAACAATTAAGTGATGTGACGACTGATGCAGGCGAGTGTTGTTGTTCCGAGTAAGAAAAATTTGTTCGTTGAAGGAATACTGCTACCGTAATCCGCAAGCTGGTCTAAGCACCCGTGTTTCAATCTCAATATTTTCACGTGATACACCATCTTGCCGCTAATTGTTTAATGTATTGGGTTGGCCAATAAGTAATGGCGTTTTTTTCCCACTCAAATTTTTATGTGGAAGATCACAGTTGTTCTCAATAAGTCCTACGTCGCTTGATAGATAATTTTCCGCTCTGTAAGATAGTGTGGTTGCCTCCAAGTGTTTCTTGTTTTCTGTCAATTTTTCTTCCATTGAAATCGAATGTCGGGTCGACACAAAAGTGAGTTCTCGACAACAATTTTTGCACTTTATATCAGCTCTCAAATCACAGAAGAAGCTCGAAAATTGTGATATGACCGAAGAAAGCGCTTCTTATGACAGTTTCAAGTTGGTTCAAGCGACCAGTAGATGGGAATTTGCACCTTGTAATTGTGCACGGCATGGGGGGGGGGCTCTTAAGGAACGATTGCCTGTAGAACCTACCGCCTAACGTTTGAACGTCTAACATCAACCAAGGGTATGCTTGATAATGATAAGGAAGCATTCTATGACCTTTAACAATTCCTCAATCATTGGCATGAATCTCCGTGAATAAGGTGATCCAGTAACTTCTCAGTTGTACCCGATAGGGCGTTAGGTTCGATGCTTGTCTGCGAGCTCGAAAAGGATATCTTTTGATAATTTAAAGCTTTGTAAGCATTTCTATCAGATATAGTCCCTTGACCATATACATAGCAACTGGGTGTGCGGTTTTAACTTTTTAATTAGAGGTGAAATAGGGAGGCTGTCGAAAATGCTCAATTTTGTCGACCTGACACTACAGTTTGGGTACTTAAATATTAATGGAAAGAGAAACTTCAAGAAAACTAAGAAGACTGTCGTATGGAGCAAGAAATTCTCTGCAATACAGTACAGAGCTCAAGACTTTCAATTTTTGGCGCGATATTTCGAGTGAGAAAAAACGCCATTACCTATAGGCCGCCCCAATACATTTCACCACACTGACGCATCCACAAGGCGCGCGCACTTCACGCGCGTTCACAAGGCTGGCAAGCAGGGTTCTAACCACATCTGATCCATGCTAATGACGCAATAATCACATCCGAATCCTGCCCAGGGCAACGAGGCATTAGTCCCTCTAGAGGAGGTTAATTAGGTACAATACTTGTCTATGGAAACTAGATCTTTTGGTGGAAAGTTTTAGTATTAGGGTAAGTCCCTATGCAACCCAAAACAGTGTGGTAGTTGTATCGAACTCGAATACCCGTAAAAGCACCCCACGTCTATTCGAGTGGGGTACGAGGGCACGCCCACCGCATAAAGGGATACCAAGTCTTATGTAGTAATCGATCGCGTATCCATTGTGAAAGTGGAATCTGAGGCACATTACAGATGGTTTGCGCAGAACCAAATACTTTCTGTTCTCCCTTTATTATCAAACTCCAGGCTATGATATACTTCAGGATTCAACTCCAAAACTTATGGTAACATGTGAAGATTCGAAAGACTCGGTATTTCGTGACCATATAGCAAATGTTTTGGACGAGAAGCAATTATCAAAAGAGGCGAAAGAAGCGAGCCCTATGCTGGACATTGAGCATGTCGAGAGCACTGATGTTGCATGTGTATGTTACACATCTGGGACAACAGGTATTTTTTTCCCTATTTCGATACGGTTATAGAGGCTTACGCGATGGACGCGCACTTGGCTCCGCCTAAATGAACACGCGAAAAGGATCCACGTGTAAGCTTACAATTCACCAGTCGATATTGATGTCGATTTGTATATGAACGACCTTTTGAGTGTATACAGTTGTACAGGGGGGAGGGGCCAAAAAAAAGTCACTTCGACCAAGTCACATATCAGCAAAGTTTTCGCTACCCAGATAGAGGACGTGGATACGAGTACCAGGGCGGAAGATACCTGAGATGCTCGATAAGCAGGAGCCGGCTCTCGCTCATCGCCTTCATGTACACCGAAATATGAAGTCATCTCCAGTCGCAGCCTGACTGGAGAAGACCTTTGGAATTCATATTACTTCCAAACAGCTGTAAAACTTTTAGTCTGAGTCACCCATGGATAGCTACGACCAATGCCTCTCAATCTGGAGACCTCCAACATCGAGCTAGCCCCGGACAACGTCGCTAACCGTCTAGGACCATCATCTTCACCGCATTCGCCAAAAGGCGCCAGGTTGATGGCTATGGGCCGGACACTGGAATGGAAAGCACCAATATCTCTTCGTGGGACCCCGGACTGAAGGGTTTGGGCGCTGGCGGTTACATTGGGCAAACTCGTGGGGATATCCTCTTCACATGTCGTCGCCGTAACCTTCTTGGAAACTTTGTATGCTACAGCATGTGGTGCCGAGCACATGAAAATCGCAAGGGCGTTGGAAGAAACACATAATTAGCGTCACCTGACGTGATAATCCCCATTACCCGATTCGGGCGGAGTTCAACAGGGTGGTCTACGGTGGCGGAGAAATCGACTATCTCGCTGATCTCAGGCACCACATCGCGGTCGCGTGCCAGAATCTCTTGATGGCGCTCGTCCAGAAGGCTGTGGCGGAGTGTCGTGATAGTATTTAATATGCTCTTTAATATGGTGGTAAGAATGTCCGATCAGAATTTAATAAAGTGTAACTTATAGCGCCTCGAAAGTCAAGTAAGAAAAGTGACTTTTTCTTGAAGAAGGGTGTGTTAGCATTTAGAACGTAATCGTCGCCGATAGACTTACGCCAGGGGTTACTAGTGGGTTAATGGTGCGTCCCGCTGATGTGTTGTCGCCAATTTCGATAGAGTAATTACCTTTTCTTCCCAATAAGCTTCATATTGACGTTATTTTGTGGGACGTCATCTGAAGTGAGCGCCTCATTAAAAGTCATACTTCGAAGCACATACTAGCTCTTGGGTAGGGTCTATTCTAGGGTTACTAAGGGGATCAAGCAGTCAGAATAGGGTATACGTGTTTCAGTCCTTTGCGCTTGGGCTTTTAAAAAAGTGAAGCTAGTTGTAGACCATATCCAATGTGGATACGGTCGAGACAATCGTAATTTGCCGCTCCGTCGCACGCGGCGTGTTTGCGTCAGCCTTCAACTGGAGCACCGGATTTCAAGTAGACTGCAACAGTTATTGCAATTTTCGGTCTGGCCTTGTCAACTTTCGCCGTCTACAACCTATAAACATCGCCATTTGCGAAGGCGACGTTGCACGCGACGCCCACCAATGCGGCGAATTACGGTTGTCTTTCTGCATACCCACCAACCTTAGTGGTTCTGTTTTCTGTTCATCGAGGCTCACAGGTGTAATCCATATCTCGACATTGAAGGGGGATTGTCTGTTAATGTGAGCGCGGCGACAACTGCTTAATGACGGATAATTGCCGCTCCAGGCAGAGAGGTAAGAGGTGGATCAACGTTTTCAGTGTCGCGTGCGCTCCCTTATACACGTCAGACTTTGCCTGATTGGCAACTATCCAGCAAGGATGTACGCGTGATCGAGTCTTTGGTCACCTTCTTCCAACGTCGAGATGTGAACTGTACAGGCTGAACTTCAGTTCAACTTCAGAAAGTCATGTATTTAGGCCTTCCGAAGGGTGCAATGCTGACCCATGGCTCACTGTCGTCAAACGCTGAAGCTCTTGTTGATGCGTGGAGATTCACCGAAAATGATAAGTATGTTTTTCAGTAGTACATTTGGGTGGAACCTTCACGTAGAGTCGTGTTCGCTGCGGATGAACGGCATGTCAAGTGGTATGGGTCTGGCGCAGAGCCGAAGCCAATCTACACCAGTTCTGCAAGCGGGTAAGCGACAACAGTTGGTAGAAAACGACTATACAAACGATGTGATACAACCATGTCGCTTGCTCGCTTCGACAGCTGGTGGAAAACGGGTTTGACCCCCTGCCAAACGCATCCCGCCTGACACTCCTGTTCATTCGCGGCGACCAAACCTGTAGCCAGTTCAGTCCCTCATGAGTACCGTACTGCATCCGAGTGTCTTTTGAGGTCCAATTCCCTGAGTGGCTTTCTTTGAAAGATGAGCAAGGCTTCTGGCTTTTTTTCTTCGGGGCCAAATTCATTGGAGTATCTGTTGCAAGAGATATTTAGAATGACGTTCAGGTTACTTCATATGCTGCCGTTCTACCACGTTCATGGCATGTTTATTTCACTGAACTGTTCGCTGTTTTCACATTCAACTGTAATTTGGAGGGATCGGTTCTCACTCGACGATTGCTTGAAATGGTTACCTGCAGCTACAGTTATGATGGGAGTACCAACATACTACAGGTACCTATTCAACAAACTCTCTTCCGAGTTAAATTTTTTTCCGAATGGTACTGTAATCTTCTTGAGACCTAACTATTGCAGAATAAATTTCTAGCTTCATACAGTCTGTTCGCTGTGGATGCTTGCTGGGGTGATTTAGGGGGGGGGGTCTGGGGAACAATCGGTGAAAAATGGGTTGGCACCGCGCCAAACCCATCCCACCCACGCTCCATACCCCTCCCCTCCCCTAACGCTCCCCAGAATCCATCGCGAACAGCGACCAACACCTTACATATCAAATGTAATGATGAGATTTGCCCTGAAGAATCGTTTACAGCCGCCTTCTTTCGGCTTCTGGCTTCAGAGGTGATCTTCTGCATCAGTTACGACTTTTCGTGAGCGGCAGCGCACCACTTTCGACTCCTGTGTGGGAGGAATTCAAATCTAGAACTGGACACGCAATTCTAGAGCGCTATGGCATGACTGAAGGTAGTTGTTGAACAGTTTCGATCGTCTACAACTTTACTCCTTCAAGGGTGTGGTCCATTGCCGGCACCATCCCTTTGCGCAAAACCGATTATTCAAATTCCTATGAGTGACCGACAGCCACCGACCCTGCGGAATTTGTGAATGTGTTTTTTTTGCCTGAACTGTTCCTATTTCCTGTTCTCTGGGGTGATAAGGGACCCAATAAGGAGTTTCTGATTTCGGTCTTGCCACCTCAAGCATGCCCCGCCACTTGAGGCTCATTCAAGTTAAAACGATGGCTGTAATGACCTCCAGCAGCATATTCTATTCGCAAAATAAATAATTCTCGATACATCATGAATGACAGTGATGAACCAGATCTATGAAATTGGAGTTGTCTGGTTCAAAGGTTCAAAGTCCAGTTGATACGAAAGTAGTGTGCGAGGTCCTGCTCTACCGGGAAAAGAGTAATCATATTCTAAACTCTCGTAAAGCTGTGAATTCAAGAAACTTGAAGAACTGTATGCATTGACATGGGTCAGCAGTATCACTGTGGAAGACCTGCACGCTAAAAGGAACTGGTGAGAAATCGGCAGCGAAGCGAAAATGCACTTCCCCCCCCCCCTCCCTCAAGCCAAACAGCGAGCGCCCTGACGGCTTTTCATGGCTTGATAGTCGCAGTCGTGCTGATCGAGTCGTACATAAAAAGTCCCATCCAAGTGTAACGGGAGCTGTGGAACCTGTTCAACGTTAACCTGTAGCTTTCAGTAATGATGCGAGATTTAATTTTCGTTTTGCTCTTGTGCACTTTTCCATCATGTTACTTGTATCGTTAAGCTCAAGTCATCTGTTCCCATCCATACGATGATCGTCGACCTGGAAGTGTTGGAAAAGCGGTTGGGGATACGAAGGTACAATTACTTCGTTATTACTCCTCTCTGCTCGGAGCTGAAAATGAAAGTGTTTTGTTTGGGTCCGAATAAACAAAAATGGTGGAATCGAAATTCAAGGCTCATCGCTTTTTGCCGGTTACTGGAAGAATCCGACGAAGACCGCTCAGGATTTCACCGTTGATAAGTATTTCATTACTGGTGATCTGGGTGCTCTCGATGAAGATGGTAGGTCATTCTTTTTGGCCACTTTTTTTATTTGCACGCTAAATTGGTGAAAATGAGATCCCCAAAAAATACGTAGGTCGGATTGGTCATGGGAAGGGATCCCGACGGAGGACATTTGACCCCTTACTTAGCACCCTATCCTATGCTATTTATAATATTTATCCTACTACTTATGTTTGGCTTTGCCTCTATGTTGCTTTGTTTGCTTGCTTACTGGTACGTCTGTCCGAAATGTCTTTAGTACCGGAAGAGCCAAGTGAACAGTCCGGTTCTGGTATGAGATAGGTAATACATGAGCCAGGACGTACGGACAACAAATTAGTTCAGCTGAGCCCCACACACAGTGAGCGGGTCATGCACCGAAAGAAAGTGGTGACAAAAAAAAACAGGAAATCTTAATTCGGTTGTAGAATAGCCCAGAAACCGGAAAAACGAGCGTAAAGATCAAACAATCAAGATCAAGATCAACAAAGGGTTGATGGAATGAAGGAGATTCACTGAGGTGGGAAGGAGGGGGGGGAGGGCGCACTCTAAAAGAGCGGTGCTTGCTTCAAAAATTCGTAACTCGGTATGGGACAAATGGTAGATCGGGGAGCAATCGCTGGAAAAAAGAAGATCTATGTTGCGCTAGGGCTGTCCGTAGCGTGTAGAGACCCTCCCGAAATAGGGCGGAGTGTGCCCTCGAAGATGGAATATTTATTCCGAAAATTCGGGGATCATTTGTGATACACTACAGTGACCGAAAATGCATAGAGAGCAGCAGTGGGACACTGGATGAGAAAAGGAAGACACAATCACGGTGGGTGGGGCGTGAGCTGAGACTGGCGTGGCGAAAGCGGTCGACGAACGCGTTTGAGAGTTCGAGTCCCGTACAGTCACAGTCTCTCGACCATTATGAATTTGTGCAGTTGGTTTTCGTGTAGAGCGTCATGTGGTCAGTAGACGGGACCATTGAGTGGGTTGATTTAGAAAAGTTTGAATTTCGTAGAACCGAATCATGGTGGTCGAGAATTCCAGCCGGATCATCGACTGAGGCCAGCGCTGTTCTTTCTACGACGAGGCCCGAAGGGGGGGGGGGGGGGTGGGGTAGGTGGGAAGGGGTAGCTAGGCCAGCGCTAATTCGGCGTCTTGAATTCCTTGTCCTATAGCATCACATCTAATATATCCTGTACCATTTCTATCCATCTTAGGTGTTCGGGAGTGATATCCAAGTCCTCGGGTGACAGAAATTCTTGACATCAACCGTGTACTCCAACAACGGAAAAAGCGCACGGCTAAGCCAGTCTCGTTTCACTGACATAAGAGCGCTGGCGGGAACCTGAGATTCGACTGGTCTCAAGAATAGAGTAGATAAGAATGAAAAGGAGCTAGTTAGACTGGTAAGAGGGAAGTGTGAGCTAAAGAAGAGGGGTCAAGGAGAGTATCAGTTGAACCCGTCCAGAACGCGTTATTTCCCTGATTGGATATAAAAAGCGTGGCGCATTCCACAAACGGCAAGTGCTTCATCCTTCTATAAAGGCTTGAAACTGTTGTTCGATAATCACGAACGAAATCATTGAGTTTGGAATGTACTAGGTTTCCTTCACATACTTGGTCGTGGCAAAGACCTTATCATTACTGGCGGATTCAACGTTTATGCTAAGGAAATCGAAGATTGTATCGACAGAATTCCATATGTTGACGAATCGGCGATTATCGGTATTTCAATAATAGTAACATTTATTGCGCCTACTTCCTTGGATAATATGAAATTTGGCATTTGTAGGTGTACCACACAAGGATCTCGGCGAAGTGGTTGTTGCTGTTGTCAAAGTGAATAGCTCGGAGCCATTAAAAGAAGAAGAAACGGAGCGGGAAATCATTTCTGCACTGAAGGACGTACTTGTCAAATACAAGGTGTTTTGTGACTAATGGTACCCCAAAACACTGTCCAGGATTGTCTGATGGGCGGCGCCACAACGCCTTGTCATTGGCGTGCCCTCTTTTCCCGCCTTCAATGACAATGAGGAATACGGTAGGAGGGAGAACGCGCCAATACAGTCACTTCAAAGCTCGGAAAGCTCGGCAGTCCTTAAATTGTGTCTAGGAAAGGCGATCCTTTGACTGCATCGAGTTTGGGGTGTAACACCGGACCCTTCACCGGCTAAGATTGCAGAAATTGCTCACATTGATAGAGCAGCTATTCAAACATAATTAGAACCCATGTAGCTGTGGGCCCTATGTGCTACTGAAAGAGGGCAACATAGGATGAAGCGGGTGCTGGGCAACCGTGGAACCAGTCGGAAGTGAGGTTGAGTGAATTTCGCTGCTTAAAAGTACCATCAGTGGAATGTTTGGAGGTAGACTCGCAACGAACATGTTCTTCCATCGAGTCAGACTTCGGCTTTTCATTATGGGAATCATCGACGAAAAATGAATAAGTGACCTTTTAGAGCTGCGTTTGCATAGCTGTCATGCTACCGCAATTGCCTACATCCTTGTTTTCCGCTTTGTTTGGATTCGGTTGAACAACGGAGAAAAATACGAGTGAAATAGAAAGTCCGCAAACTTCGGAATGCGCTCTAAAGTTATTCTTGAGAATAGCATTTTAAAGTTCTTCCATGTATGGAATAAAATAAAAACACAGCTCTTCATCCCTGCAGCTGAGAGCCACAAGGTGAACAGTTCTCTTTCAACCGCTTTCCACCCACTCTGCTTGCTCGCTTCAACTATTGGTGGAGCGGATTGGCGCCGCGCCGAACCCACCCCCCCCCCGCCTACATTTCTGGCACGCAAATATACACGACGTTCAAACAAGTCGACGATCTTTCACCAAGCGGTTTTTGCATTTTCATGCAAAGCATTGTCCGGACTATCACTGAACACTTTAGGACTTTGGTAATATTTGCTCCAAACTGTGACGCCTCCTTTTCACTACGAACACAATTTGCACACTTTGTAATCCCATTGTATCACACATGCACACTGTTGGATAGTTTTCCATAAATTGACTCACTTGACGCCGCCCGAGACGACTCCTCACGCCTATGAAAAAGGGTTTATTGAAATTTTGTGTCTTCACTCACCAACATCCTTTCCATGATGATTTTTCATAATCGAATGTGCACGTAGGGAAGCAAGTTGTAAAGAGGCACTCCTAATCTTCCGACCACGCACATTTTTCAACTTTCAATATTTTTTTGTTTTTTTTTGCTGAAATTTTGTTGCTTGAATATTTGAGAAAGGAAATCGAAAAAAATCCCAAATAAACAACATCTTGCGACACCGTTGTTCACCTGCCGCCTGCAAACTCTACGCGGAACATAATAAAGCTCTCCCCCTGATGTATCTACAAATTTCACGATTTCCAAATTGTGGTAGATTTTTGTGTCGTAGCTTTGCCACTTTTTTCAGAACCTATGACAAGCTTCACCGCATTTTAGCGGATGCGAACGCCTACTTTTTTGAAATCCCTCTGAGTAGTGTTGTCTCGACTCTCAAATTCAGTTACAATCTAATAGGCTAGATCTTAATTTTTGTGGTAAATAGAGAGGTAACCAGATTCTGGCTTTTTATTACGGTAATTATGCTTGGAGTTTAGTCACTAACCTCTGAAATCTGTACTATATTTGCACAGATGTCATGTCCATCACGATTGTCTGCATCCGTAGTTTCCGCTTCGCTTGAATTAAATTCGACTATGAAGAAAAAAGAAATTCTATTTCAAAAATGTAAAAGAAACTCTAGTCGATGAATCGACTATCCGCCCACGTGCTTAACTACAGTTTTACTGAAAAGATGTTTGAACGAAATATTCCCGGTGATGGGCTGCGTGTTCCTGTGCGCGGTCCCCCTCTCTTACACGTTCGCAGCCGCCTTCGGCTGCTACGTATCCGTACTTGGAGACGCCCCTTTCTTCCTGCAGATGGGAGCTGCGATGCCCTTACTGTTTGTCTGTTGCTCTTGGCCCAATTTCCAATACATTTAGCACCTACTGGTCCTAGCACCCAGTTAGCACCTCAGCAATTACTCGTTCATTTCCCTTTTTTTGCTAAAAAAGGAAGGAAAGGAAAAGCAAAAAAAACTAAAACTTTTGAGTTATTATGATAGCAGCAAACTGCACAATATTCAGGTACCGAGACGTGTCGTATTTGTTCCATCGCTGCAAGAAATTCGATGGCGAAAGTGGCAGAAGAAAGAAACTTCGTGAAAAGTACAAGCACATTTGTGATGGCCACTGATAAATTCGTATCTGCCTTAGGAAACTGTCCGGTCAAAAATTTTATTTTATTTTCTTTTTTCTGTAGTCTATCAACGATGCCGTGTAATGACTTTGGTAGTATACTCTTGCTCAATTTTTCTTTCAAAAAAAGATATATGAAATAAGGCATAGTTACTGTAACATACATGTTCACGTAAACAAAATGAAAATTTTCCTAATGAAATGTTGCATTTGAAGTGAAGAAGTAAGTGTGTTGATTGATGATGTGGAACAGGTTTTGAAACATAAAAAACCGCTTGCTACACCGTTGTGGCATAAAGATGTGACACGACTGGTCGGTAGGTTGGTCGTTGATTGGGCGCCTGTCATCGCCTTTACTTCAACAATTGCTGACGAGTTACTTACTGGTTGAACCTCTTCGATACAGTAGTTACTAGGAATGCCTTTTCAGTGATAGCTTAATGTGCCCTACTGCCTCTCTTGTGTTTTCATGTATCGATCCCTCCTTGGTTCCATCAGTCGGTGTTCTGCCATTGCCAACGTCGTAATTCCCAGTTTTACTATAAGTAACCAAGTTATATGTTCTGTTAGACATAAATCGCATTTCGCCTGAAAAACCAGTCGTGCTGCATACCGTAGGACATACCATGGTGCGCTGGCGGGCGCGACCGGCGACGAGGCGTCCTACGGACGAGTTATCCTCCCTGCCCATTTGAATGTGAGTGTAAAAGGATGGGAAAATTTTGCCCGTCATGGATCTTGTGCTGGATTGAATTCATAGGAGTTTCGCTGTTCTACTCGGCATTACAGAATGGTGACACCGAAAATTTGCCGCGCATCCCGCAAGACGCGCCGCGCGCGCCAATGCGACATGCTACGATTGTCTTGTGCGTGTTCCTGCTGAGAGAGGTAGAAAAAGAGCATATGGTCAACTACAAGAAGTCTGTGAGATTCAACCATTAGCTGTGCAAGGAAATGAGGTATGAAATTCTAAAATCGGCAAACTGCGGTAATGAAAATCTTCTCGAGGTCCAACAAGTCCCCTCGCCGATTATGAAATACCCCCACCCCAAACCCTTGGCAGAGGTTCCACAACAATGATATGCTCTGGCCCGGAAGCGCTGACTCCCCCATCTCAAATGCCGGTCAGCTGACCATGTAAGTTTTGCAAAAAGCCTGTCATGTGAATAAGTCTAAAGATAACATTCAGCCCCCAATTGGAGTTGTATCTATTTTAAGATTTCAACTGCGGAAAGCTTCCGTTCCATACGACCACATATCTTTCCTTTGCCCTCGCTATTTACTATTTCATTACTATCACTAGAAAAAAATCGCTAATGATGTTGGCGACTTGAACTCTTCTATAAACTGCTAAAATTAGGTGAAATTCCATTCTCATTGTAGCACCTGCCACGTGAATTCTGAACTCTTTGAAATGTTCAGCACTCCGATTTCCACATATAGCCAAGTTTTAATAGCTACGATCCGCATTCCGATTTCCGCAAAATCGCTATCCGCAAATACTGGTACTCTTCACCAAAGCGGTCTCTATGAGATACAGTGAAATACGGCTCTTCTGTAGGGCGTGATAGATATTCCCACCCCTTTTCCTTTTTCCCCACCCCCCACCTCTAGGCAGTTTGTGGATAAGCTGGTTTTTCATTTCAGTTAGGAGCTGAAACATTGATTTGAATTGAATTTTTTCTCTGAAATTCAAAATAAATTAATGTGATTGATAAGAGATCCATAGATTTCGTTTAAAGGCAGTTCCCGCGATAAAATAAGGCTATGACCTCTCAAATGTGTCGGACGATTCGAAAGGCGATTTGTGAGGCTGCGCTATTTTCAAAATGTGGAAATCGGCAAGAACTCCGCTAAAAGCTGACAAATTAGGCCCATGGACACCCCTTAGGCCTATGCCGACCCCCACCGGCTGCTAGCTACTAGCTAATAGCCACTATGCTATCTCTCTCCATAACATTTCGGACTGCTTTTTCTGCTGCTTTTCTCCGCTAAACAGATACTTAGCACTTTTCCGTTCGTATTTGAGTTCCGTTTGCCGCAATCTGCGATCGCGAGCTGTGCCTTTAAGTTTCATGCAATAGAAGTCCGCAAAAGCATGTCAAATAGAATTTTAATTGGCGGTCAGCTGTCGGCCAGATACCCTGTGCTTCCCTTTCGAGTCTGCCTTGTTTCCTGGTTCCCCGTATATGTAAAACCATATATCGGTTCCTACCATTTCGACCCTTTTGAATTGTTTGCTTCGGCTAACCCAATGACCACGTCACTAATTCCGATTTCCGATTCAAATGGTCCTTTTTAAGTTTTGGATCATATAATCTGCAGTATTGTCACTCAATGCTCTGTGGAAATATGAATTGAATTCGTGAACCCTGATTATTTACTGATCGAGAAGATTAGCCAGGATCTAAAATATCAATCGTCAAGGAGATCGATTTACCTTCGCTCTTGTAAGTGGATGGTTTTTATAGTACTGCTCCAGAACACAATTTCTTTTCCATTCCCCACCCAAAGATTGGTGTCATACCATGTGATGTATGATCTTTTCCTTCTCACGGCTAACTCCTCAATTAGACCCTGATCTTCTTTTGCTAGTTGAGGTTTCGGAATTACCTTTTGGTTGCAAATGTACCAATGAGATGATTGAAATAATCCAGACTTTCCATCAAATACAAGTCATTCGATATTT